TAAGCGATGTGCAACAAATAGCAACAACAACATTATTTATGACAACCTGTATAACACGCTGCTCCCCAAGCTCCTTGATACCCTTCTCCATCACTTGAAATATGTTATAGGCATCATGGCTATTATCAGAGTCATCAATAGACCTCAAAAAAACAATCCTTAAAAGACAATTCACCAACAAATTCATCTGGTTTCTTCTCTTCGTATCACTCCAAGTATCAATCATAACAGAAACCCTATACTGCACCCTTGCATCCTTCTGTGACTCCACAATCTCCGTCGTGACATTCACCTCCTTTTTCAAAGTCGGGGGTTTCAACCCAAGCCTAAATTGACCAATTGCCTCTACCAAGGTGTGAATGTTACTTAGGCAAGTGGCATTGAAAGGAATGCCCACCTCATAAAACCATCTAGCAATATACTATGCAGCTCTATCTCTCTCTTCCTTCTTGATTCTATTCTCAATAGTCGTTTGCTTCTTTGTTTTCTCTCCTGCAACCTCAGGGTTAGGCTGAATACAGCAATTACAGCTCCCTTTCCACCTCTTCACACCCCTCTTGATCACTATCATAGTTATTAAAATTGACATGAACCCTAGAAATTGGCTCTGGTATGGATGCCCCTCTCTCCTTCTTTTTTTTTTTTTTTTTTTTCTTTGTTCTTTTTTTCTTTTTTTTACAATACTCATATAATATTTTAGCTCCTCTTTAATAGCATCAATAACTTTTTTACATGTGGCAACATCCCCCTGATACCGGCACAATGTTTCTTAAACCGGTTTATACCCCCATTTGCATTCTTTTCAAAATAATTGCATCTTATGCAATTTTTATCTAAAGGATTTGGTTTATAACCATATTTCTAACCCATATCACCGCTTCTATTAGATCTCAAAGAAGACATCTCGATATAATATAAGCAATCTAAAAAATAAAATTTTTCATTAACTTTGATTGATCTATCTCCAAACTTCTACCTTTGAGATGTTTTATAATTTCAGAATCTTTTTAAGAACCCTCTAATAGACTTATAAAATGTCCAAAACTAAATCTAACCTCAATGGGTGATGTTTGGATCGATTTTTTGTAACTTTGAGAAACCCTTCGACCTATGGAAATCACAAAAATATAGTTTCTTCAGGTTTCTCTCTCTCTAAAATAGGTTCTAATGAGTTTAGGTTTGAACGAGTTTAGGTTTGAACGAATCAAAACCCCTATTTTTGCATTCTTATATTAGTCAAAACTACCCCAAAAATGCCCCTCAACAAGGGGCATTGGATGCCTAGGGCTAGGTGCTGGGTGCCTAGGTGGATTCCCAAGGACAAGCCACCTAGGGCTGGGGGAGGCGCCCAGCCCCCGGCCTGCCTAGGCAGGCCACCTTTTGGAACACTGATTGCTGGGATTTATCATTGCATGGCGTTGAGAAAGTTCCACATTATTTGAACTGCTTGGTGGTCAAACTTTGATGTGGCCCATCTAACTATTTTGATACCAATATTGGAAGCAGATCCCTTGGGCCCATTGGGGTTGGCGATTCTCCTTGATGATTCTGAGAATACTAAAATGTCATATTTATATTTTACAATATTTAAAAATATATATAAAGTAAATTTGGTGGGAACCAGGTGATTTGGCCAATCTGAATTTGTTCCCTATAGATTTGCCCGGTTCTCAGACAGAACCAGGTGAATCCTTCTAAATCACACTGAGTCCTGGTTGTAGTGAGGAACATGGTCAGTCCCACACCAATCCCTATATGGATTTACAAATTTTTGAACATTGGTTGGGAGTGTCATACATTTCTCAACTTGAATGGACTAGAAAGGGAAAAAGAAATGGATGGGACGGCAAGTCTGGAATGTTACTGAGGGACAGTCTGCCAAAGCAACTAATTGAGGGATCAAAGTATGGATATGCAGCTTTTATGGACTTGGAGAGCAGATATAAAATGGAACTGCTTTTTATTTGAAAGCTGACTTGTGAAAGAACTTCAGCAAACAAGTGATTGATTCATGAAATCATGTTTATGTTTCATCTCTTCTTTGGCATATCAGTGTTGATGTTTCTCTTGTACAAAAGTTTGATGATCTGGCAACTCTTTTTTAATGGGAAGAATGTCGCATTTGCAGATGTTTGTAAGTGTCCTTTACGTTCTCAGCCCCATAGACATTCTTCCAGAAGGTATGAACTCTATAGCATATTCCTTTTTTTCTGAAATTTCTTAGTTAATGGATTGAAAATTGAAATGCAACTATGTGGTGGTGGTTTACAGCCATCCTGGGCGTTATAGGGCTGTTAGATGATGCCCTTATAGTATTAGTTGTCCTCCTCCATTTGGCCGCTATGTACCGCTCGGCACTCCTTTACCGTCATGGAGGGTCTTATTAAGGACCACATCTTATTGCAACGGATTTGTAATTTCAAATTGAGCTCACTAAGAAGATTGCGATACTGTTAACAAGTTCAAAGCATACAGCAATAGACTTTCCATGCCCTTTTAATTTTGAGCAAGGATTAATAATATCTAGGACTCCATTTTCAGGTAATGAAAAGTTGATCAAACTGCTGATAAGAAAAGAAATGAAATACAGTTTCGATATTTGTACAACGTACAAAGCTGTAAATGCCTTTCTACATTTGTGCTACATAAAAGATAACTTCTAAATTCAGTATGCTATCCATTCTTGTACTCCGGAATGTATGCTCAGTTGATGCGGCTTACATTAATACAAGTCATTTCATTCAACAAAGCATATACAACTCAATAATGCTTATTTGTTCATCGAAGCTTGGGGATTATCGGCTTGCTGTTTTATTTAATCTCCTATTGTAATTTGTTTCCGTTATGAGATCATTAGCATACTTGTACTGCTTTACTTTTCTGTGCATGAGGCATAACCCCAAGTTCTGCAAAAACTTTTATAAGTTTTCAGAACTTTGAAGGTTTCAGGGAAACCTACAGGGCTATGCCATATTTTTATCCAAGAGGTTTATTCAAGAGACAAAAGTTATGTGATATTTTCATCCCAAGAGCTTTTCATTTGGGCTATCGTATGTGGCTGATGCAAGGGCAAAGAAATCATTTCTTCTCCATATCGTTCAGAAAACTTTTCTCTGAGTTAAATGTTTTTTTTTTTTTAAATTTAGATGCGTTAAAATTTTAAAGATGTGTAGGAGTTAAGGGTATTATGGTAACCTATGTGGGCTATATGAAGGCTATATGTAGCCATTATTGTAACATGGATACGGTTTCTATGCTGTCAGCCAGCAGACTGTAGAAATGTGGGCTTGGCAATAAATATTTTTTAAAAATATTATTAGATTTTAATTTTTAGAGAATATATAATCTTTAACATGGAGATCGTGAATATGAAAAAAAAATGAAAACTAAAAATAATAATTATATTAAAAAGAAGCAATGATCTAATGCTACGGTTGTAGCACAGTATAATGCATTTGGACTGTTAGTTACAATTGGTTTTAGATGGACTGCCTAGTTGAATCCATCTTTAAGATGGATGTTTTATACCTTTGAACTATATATTGTAGAAATACGGTTCAGCCTGCGTGAAACACTTTTCCTCGTAACATATATGGAGTGCGTAAGTTCGAGCTAGGCTCAGGCTGGTCCGAAGCTAAAAATGGACTTATAATGCCAGGCCCCGGACTCAGGGTCCATATAATCTGGCCCGAACATGGCCTTAATCCAGTCCTCGCCTGAAAGCCCACGGGCCAGGCCTCCCCATTTGGCAGACTATTTCTTGACCATGTGTTTAATATTGATCCAAACTAGTGGCTCTAAACGCAGAATCAAGTCTGCAGGGGTGGGCTTCGGGCAGAGTTGGCTTGGCAAAGTCTAGAGGCCACTTGGCGACTTGGCGCACGTATCCCAAAAGGAAGGACATTAAAAACGTAAAAAAAATTATGAAAGAATTGGAAATGTGAAAATTCAAGAAATAAAAATAGATAAAAAAAATTATTTCATGCAGGGTGGACTGCATTTCTACAATATGCGGTCGAGAGGTATAAAGCATCATTCTTAAAGATGGATGTAAATAGTTGGTCCATCTAAAAACGAGTGTAACTAAGTGGTACACATTTTTTTAATATAATTATTATTTCTAGTTTTCAATTATTAATATTTTTTCATATTCATCATCTCCATGTTAAAGATTATATATTCTTTAAAACGTAGGATCAAATTATACTTATATAATATATTTATTACCAAGCTCGCATTTCTATCCTATGCGGGCTGGCCGCATTGAAACCATGTCCAAAACTAAAATGCTCATTTAAACAACCAAAAATAAAAAATGAAGAGTTAACGATGTTGAGGGTTTCAACAACCACAATGTTTGGTGCACATGATCCAAAATGGAATACATAACAATAATGATATTTTTAAGAGCATTTTGTAATACAACTGCAAAACGGTTCACTATAAATATAACTCTTTTGTTTCGAGTCATGGCATTTCTGCAATGTCATATGAGAGTCAGTATATTCTTTTGTTTCGAGTCATGGCATTTCTGCAATGTCATATGAGAGTCAGTATATGGTTTTGAAATCAAAACAACAGGTTTAGTTGTACATTATGCGGATCTCAAACTGTTTTTTATTAGACTCAATAGTTCTTAGGCAGATACCAAAAATTTCAAATAACAAAATATTCTCCGAAATAGCTCTTTTTCTATGGGAGTTAGTTATACATTATGCTCTAGCAAGAGCATGCTATACACTAAATTTAAGATTTTGGAATGATTATATGAATTTATATTTAATTTATAGAGCTAAAAGGTAAAGCTAACTTATCTAAAACAGAAATCTAAATCCTATGTTTAGGCTTTTTTTTTTTCTTTTCTTTTTTTTGTTTTAAATTGAGTCCGCTCAAGTTTGTCTTATTTGAACCACTTGGTGTATATTGTACTCATATATACAAGGATCAAATCCATCGGTGAAATAAAAGGTTTATAGAATTTTCGTTCAAAACTAATCGTTCTCTCTCTCACTCTTTCCTTTCTTTCTTTTCTCCTTTTTTTTTTTTTTAAATGTAATTTTGAGAGTATGCACAAGGGATTGTGGGGTTGATAAGATCTATGATGACAGTAGCAGTCTAGCGCATCTTACACGTATAAACTAGATTGCATATGCACCCGCACGCATGTGCTCACATACATATATATATATATATATAGGAAAAACTTTATATAAGGTTGGAATTTCAAAATGTAGAACTAAAGATGCACCTCAAAAATCCATCGAAAAAAGATGTTTTAATGTTGAAAAACCCTCTAATTGATCATCTTGACATCAAGATGTATGAATATGGAAAAAAAAAAAGAAAAAAGAATTTGAGTCCAAAAAATAGTGCATCTTGCAACGTACTATCTAGACTCCAGTTTCAATATTTTCATATGTTTATAGATCTACTTGATTTTAACAATTTTTGAAGTTTAAAATTTTATAATTAAATATAAAAATAGAT